TGTTACATCTAATGTTGTTAAATGAATGTTTATTGCATTATTTCGGTTTCATGTGTGTTACCATGATGGTGTTTAATGTTTGTGTGAATGACACTGTGCACCTTCTATATATGTTATTATTCAAAAGCTGCTTGTGATGGGCTTTGGTTCATCATGTGACTTTCTCATCACCACCTGCATTTGGTGGTTATCAGTGTATTATAAAGGTACAAAACAGATTTCAGTACTTCAGTAGGTTGTTATATTAACATTATATCAGTTAATGAAATTACTGTATTTAACTGTATATTTAAGTTAAAACCATAAATCCTAAAACATTGCTACTGTATTTGTTACACTGTAAACCGGCAGCTGTGGTTGCCGGAATTTTACCGTATGTATGTTAAAAATCCCAAGGTATAAATCCCTAGGTCTGTGCAAAGTTCATTTTATAAATCCCAGTAATATTTTTCATAAATACTGATGTGTGCGTGGGAAGTGCCGTACATGATTTTCAATGACCGTTCTGTGCGTACACAGCATTTAGACACAAGGCCCCTGATGTAGAGGCTCTTAGACTAGAGTTTCTCAAGCTTATTTCTTTCAGCTTCAAAGATGAGCACCACAAAGTGTTTGATCTTCAAAAGAGGATGACCAGCGCAGGAAAGACAAGAGTGATAGTCTCTCGATTTCAAAGAAGATGTGACATTTTCCAGCGACCTTATGGAGCATACAACACATGAAACCGTTTCCTGAAAAAGCAGGTCCATCATGGTCATTACTGGTGACATTTTAGCCTTGATCTGCCCCACATATTATTACAAAAGACATGCTGAGATACCAAAGTATAAAAATGACATAAAAGCTATTTCTATAAGCTTCTCTGCCCAGAATAAAGCAGGACCAACATCATCACAACACATAATCCAATCAGGAACAGAGGAGCATGTATCAACACTATGTCCACCTTGTGCATTACTGTCATTTACACATGCACTTTACCCAATGCCTCCATTCTCTCTTCTCCTCCAGTGTTCTTTCAATCCAAGCACTTCAAATATTCATTTCTATCTCAGGTTTTAGCCCAGTGTCTGTCCTCAGTGGAAAGTCTGGAGCCAGGCTGGCTGAGAGGCGACGTGAGGAAGGGCAATTACCTTCTGCCACCCGAGACTTCCAACAAAAACACCAGCGTGTAATTAAAGAATGAATGGCGGACCTCTCTCTTTACTCTCTCACCCTTTCATGATCAGGGCCCCATTACGAGTGGAAAGGAGGAGCACCGGGGGCCAGTGCGGGAACGGTTGAGATAAACGTCTTTCGTGAAATAAAAGAAAACCTCTCCAAATTACGACTGCTGTGCTTTCACCACGACCCGTCGAGTAAATCTAAGGCTATAGCTGAGCTCTTTTAAGGAAACACTACACAATTACAATCACACTTATGACCGATTTCAATAGTTTGACATTAGCATGTTGCTAAGCTAATTACAGCATAATACTAAATACAAAATCAAATATTGGGTAATTAGTTTTTAATGAACACTTTTTTTGAGCAATTAATGTTGAATAACATGAAAAATCACCGTATTTTCTAAATGCATGCTATTGAGTTTATTGCAAATGATCGAACCCTGCATTTTTTTTTTTAACCACAACATTTTTAATCAAAATAGAACTCAAACTTACGGTAAAACAGACTTTTCCAATCATTCAGTCTGCTTAAACAGGCTCTCATTTATTTGCCTCCATTTTTGATTGCAATTTTTTTTTTTAATCAAAAATCTGTTACAGTCGAGTGTACATCACAATACGAAATAAAAAAATCTGTCGATACTTCAGGTTCATCACGACTTTAACTTTATAATCAACATTTCGCTTGACTCATCCACCATTTTTATTCCGTTTTTTTCTTTTTAGTCCACTGAGATGAATTCTGGGTTTGGATTTGACAAAATATGCAGTAACCTCAGCAAGAATTATGTATCTTAGCAAAATCACTGAAATAGCCTTCCAAGGACACCTGTAATTCCTTCACGTGTTTAGGTTTTGAAACGAAGCCCAACTATGACGATCTATTAAGATTTTTATGGTTCAGGTGAGAGAAACAGGAGGGTATTAGAGACCATGACAAATCTTGGAAAAAAAGCATAAACCTCCACTAAAAATGAGTTAATAAAGCCCTGAGCAGCACATCTGCTGTGGACAAACATCTTAAACTGAGGCTTCCGTGGCTACGATCAAAAACCAAAATATAGTCAAAGCTTATTATTTACATATTAATATAAAAAAGGAAAGACAGTTATGGTATTTTTGATGAATGGATTATACACTCACACGTGGATGCATTAAAGCAATTTGTGCCCATTAGATCCTAGAATTTCACTTGAGTGTTTTCAAAAACAAGATTCACATCTGACTTAACCATCTTGATTTCAGGTTCAATTTATCACCGCAAAGGTCTTTAGTGGGGATATAAACATTCAAATGTCAGTTTTACACCAAGGGGAGCTTTTCTTTCGAAGACCACTGTAGTAGAGTGCCACCTATTGGTTTCCAGGGAATAAGAGCAGCATGAGGTTTTACAGGAATCATCAGATGCCAATAAACAGGATCAGTGATGATCTCCTGCTTTTCAAAAACAGAAGTTGTTTAACCAAACTTAGGGATGACAGCTTTTATTGTAAAACAGCCAAAATAATAAACGACTAAAGAAAAGAAAAATCTGGTGGCACATTCAAAAATAAAGACTTTTAGTTCAATGCCATACCACCATGGGGGTTTAGTGCCAATTAAACCGCTCACAGAAAACACATAAGGTCAGTTTCACTGAAAGAGCCTAGTTCTGGATGGTCACTGGTTAAGGCTGCATGAAGGTCTACGCAAAAGGATCGGTTTCATTCTGAATCACTTTATAACATTTACAGGTCAACTTTTATAGTGGAACCTCTCAAATCATCAAAATGAGACATGGCTTGGGGGTGTCTGCAACCCAATTACCAAAAAAGTGTTTTTGTTTTTTTTTGTGTGTTTTTTAGGCCATATCAAATGAAAAAAGTCTTAAGAGCTCAAGGAGATGACATCTCTTTTTCAATGCAAATCTTCAGGTTGAAAAACCAAGTGTCACCATTATTAATCAACTTACAAATATAAATCAGTTTTCTCCGATATTAACATAAAAACTTCCAAAAAGTAAAATAAACAAACATCTACATCGGGGTGAGCAAAGGTTCTGTCCGATATGCAGTGGGTACGGGGCTGCCCGTTTCGCCTTCCAATTAATAAGGAGGGGGTACGAAAATGAATACAAAGAACACAAAAAAGCACCCTGGTCTTCATGAGCGTTTGAGCCTCTTGGAATGTCGCTGGACGCCCGAGTCCTCGTCACTGCTGGCCTCCTTGTCACCAGTCACACCTCGTACAGTCCGCCTCAATCCAGTTCTCCTGCTGTCCCTCTCATTGTCGCTGTCCTGCTCCCGATAATCTTTGCGATTTGTCCGCTTGCTCTTCCTTCTCACAGACTCGTCCTCCTCCACATCTTCTTCACTTTCACTGTCAGCTTGGTTCCGTTGTCCACCGCGCGGTCTGGTCTGTCTGGCTCTCCCTTGCTTCCCATTTTGTATCTTCCTCCTGCCCTCCTCCTCCTCCTCCTCCGCCTCCTCGTCGTCATCCT